TGGTTCTACTACCAGCATCGTCATTGCCAGGTGACCCATGATTCGACCTCTTGACTTCCCCTTCCCAACCCTGGATAGACTCACAGACCTGGAACGGTGGATCGTTGGATCGGTGGATCGGGGCTTGGGGAACTCCCCCTAGCTCCTTGGCTCCCTGTTTGGGAATCTGGATAGCCCCGGTGACTTGACCCTCATCGTTCTGTCCTGAGCAACAGCTGGTCTACTGGGCACTCTTCAGAGCCGTGCTATCATCGGCCACAGCTGCCAAGACCAACAGGTGATCCGTCTGACCAGCTGCTGTTGTTGCTCCAACATGATCCATCCTCCTGTTGGTTATAGATAGTGAAGTCACCATGTTGGATCTGTTTTGTAATCCGATCCCAGATTCCATGTTGAAATTCCACCCTAAGAATCCGGGCCCGAACCACTGAGGGTCCAGACCCCTGCTATGGAGGGCCCAACTTCTGCCATAGATTCTTAGGGCACATCTATTTCAGTTCACTTAATAGTGGACCAGCTTGCACGAGTTCTCTTTTTAAACTGCGAGAGCTTTTCTGAAAGTTTGTTGATGTTTATGGTTACTTTCGGAAACAATCATGAAAAGTAGGCAAAAAAAAACACACAGACACGTTTCCCTCCAAAAAGGGGTTGCTTGCAAGCCATTACTCTTGTAAGTTGGAGGCCATGGCTATTAGGTTGGAGGCCAGGGGTGCTTGCAAGCTCCTATAGTTGTTGGTCATTTTTCAGTTTGGACACCCTCGACTGACCGAGTCCAACACCTCCAGGCAGCTGTGCAAACGGACAGTGTTTTTGAGGTTCCCGTGACTCTTCTGGGAGTGGTTCTTTTAAAGGAAGCTGGGGCAAAAAAAACAGGTTTGGGGCTTGTCACTTCAGGTGGAGAGAAAATCAACCATCGCCCTAAGCAAAACCTATATATCTTCTTGAACCTGTGATGATTCTCTCTTGTCTTTCTCACGATGGTCTGAACTTCGTCGACAAAAAGAACAATTCCTGGACAGCTAGTAGCGGCAGCGAATGCAATCGAGATTCATTGGTAAAGTCGGTGGCCGAGCATTCTCCTTCTCACCTCTGCCTGCCATCAAACTTCTGCGAGCCGCGCTCACCACGGATGGCCCAAATACCAGGAGAAAAACACAAACAAATTCTTCTTGTTGACCAATCGCTGCCTCTAGAACGCAGGGGTTGTTTAGTCAAGATTTGTCACGACCAGCCGCGTGGGGCACCTGGCTTTCTTCGAATATCTTGAATTTGCTTAAGGAGCTGGGAACAGAATTATGTCCAATGCCAGGGGATGCACCCAGAGAACAAATACATTACCTTACATAAGCAACACAAGGATATACATCCTGCTCCAGCATGTCCAAGGACGGATCTGGTAGCTTTTGGGACGCTACCTTAAGGGCTCGCTGAAAGGTCGGACGTCGACACGGGGATAGAAACTGTGGGAACCATGCGGGACATAGATTCCCTGAGAAAGCAAGGGGACACAAGCAGAGATGGTTTTGAATAGTCATCTTGGAGTTAGAGTTGCAGTCGAAGCTGAGACACCAAAAACAAGAGTTCAAAGTGCTTTGGGCATTCATCCATTTTGGGGAGCATGAATCACCTGATCAGCAACACCAGGTGATTTCGAAGGTACGCTCGCCGAAGGTACAGCGCCCAAAGGACTGGTGGTGCCATCCACCACCACTTCCACGATCCTTTCAGGGAATGTCTGTGGAACACGGTGGAAGTCAAGTTCTTGGATTTTGAATTCATGAACCAATTATAAATAGCATCTTCCAACAGGTCACCACCCGCCACCAAAAGAGATCTCCACTCAAGCCAGCCACCAGGTCGGAGACCTTTTTTGAGACCGGGTCCAACGAAATAACATCTTCGAGGATTCACTCTTGAAGAATCACCACATTAAGTTTAAACCAGTGTCTCAAAAAAACAGTTGGCGATAGACCAGTGTCTCAAGTATCTCAACATCGATCCCATCAACTCACCACTTCGACACCCCCCGCGTCGAAGTGGTGTTGACGCGAAGACGCGAAGACTCCTCTCGTCCCGCGCGAGTCCCGCGCCTCGCGGCAGGCCTCGGGCATAAAGGGGGTTGCCGCGGCCAAAAAGGACACCAACACTTTCCGTGTTTTGGTTGCTTTTTCTTCGAGGAAAACGCGGTGGGAAGATTCACCTGAAAACCAGGCCCCACTGGGTGGTGGTTAGGGTCGCTGCGTTTGACGGTTCACGGCATCAGGTTTCACTTCATCCGTGCACAAACAACATCAATGAAACACGATGTCAGTGGGGTACAAACGACGAACACGTTATTACACAATTGAACACATAGATAAAATGGTTTTAACATATTTTAACATGTTTTAACTCCTATCTCATGTGCCTCCTGAATGTTTTCAGTCAACTTTTCTCAGACACATGTGTCAGGACTTGTGCAAGAAACAACCCATCTCATATTTGGCACAACTCCTAACTTATCTGGGGGTAGTATAGTAGTAATGGCCTCCAACCTAATAGCGGTGGCCTCCAAGCTACTAGCTTCTTGCTACTAGTAGTAATGGCCATTCAAGGTTCAAAACTGTTCAAGACCACTCCAGCTTAATCCACTTCAACATCGTGAAGATGTTACGAAAGATTCTTGAGACGTCTGATACGCTACGATGAGGACCAACAAGGGGCCAAAGAGACTCCCTATGTTCTACTGCCGCATAGCAATGAACTTTATAACACATGTATGATTATGAGGCTCTTAGTGTGACGTTCGCCACAACAAACACCTCCACGATCCGAAACGGGGTCAACTCACCCCGTGGCACTAAGCGGCCTCTTGTCAACTAGTAGTAACCAGAAGCTAGTAGTAACAAGTGCATCGCGACTAGTAACAGGTGCCTTACTAGTAGTAACAAGAAGCTATTAGTAACAGGTGCCTTACTTGGTTCACGAGGATTGGACTCCGACCATCCACGGGTGCGAAGGTCGTGGTCCCACGGGTGCGAAGGTCGCGCAAAGCGTACGTCGGACTCGCAGCAAGTCCAATCGACTATTCAAAGAATGGTCTGACTTAGGTGACCCGAGTCAAGGAATGTTCCTTTACTTGCGACTTGGGTGGTGCGAAATTTTTAGTCGAACTGGACTTCTAGAGTATTGGAGACCCCTTCTTGGAAGATGCCAGCACATTGGGTGTCAACGAGTGATGCATCGCCCGATCGCCGTCCACGTGGCTGATCGCAGGGAGAGATGGGCGATCGTGGTCTCTGGAGCTGTCCTCGAAGCGAAAGGCAAAGGCATCCAGGGACTCCTGACATTACTTACTATAGTAACAAGAAGCTACTAGTAGCAAGGTACATCCCTACTATAGAAACAAAGCGCATCGCTACTAGGAGCAAGGACGCTACTAGTAACAAGGGCATTACTACTAGTAGCAAGGGCATCACTACTAGTAGCAAGGCGCATCGCTACTAGGAGCAAGAAGCTACTAGTAGCGAAGTGCATCGCTACTAAGAACAAAGGGCATCGCTAATAATGAGCAAGGACGCTGCTAATAGCTCATGGTCAACTGGCGAATCTGAATTCCTTGCTGGGTTTTTATCATGATTCATAATTCCATGATGAATCCACTGCCACCCTCTGAGAAGGTGATTGGAGATTCTCTTATTATGTAGGTGGTCTTGGAAGGTACAGTCATACCGAACCTGAGAAGGTCTGCGGAACCCCCAAGGGACTACAAAGAACTTCCATCGACCGTTCTCGAGCGCAAGCAGCACGCCCATTCTTAGGTGCTCAATCTTCAACAGGTGCACCGTGCACCCCCCCGCTAGGGAATTTGGCTGCTGATGTGTCGATGGTGAATTTTGATACCTTCCACATCCAGGTGCCTGAAACAGTCCCTGTAGCGTGTTACACGTATCCTGCTCGAGCTACCCTCAACAGTCCCGTTCAGCATCCAGGTGCTTTCTCACTGCGGACAGCGGACGTGGCAAATGGACAAATTGACCACCATCCATTATGAACAAAAATTTGATCCCACACTCACCTGATGGTATGACACTTCAATCCCAAGAATTACGCGCCAAGAGGTCTGGCCGTCGAGCCATGCATATAATTATACAATACGACATCCGTTATAGTTATTAAACTGGGTTGTCTTAGAAGGACCCCCCTCTCAACCCCCATATTAGTTATTGGTTGGTCCTGGTGGGACACACACACATCTTCCAACCGGTGCGTCTACCGCCGTCGCCATCAGACCGGACCGCAGATCGTGGACCGGACCGGCTGAGGTCGAGCAACGCTCTTCACGTCCACTCGCCACCACTCCTTCCTTGGCGTCGGTTGTGTGGCGAGTGATGCGGCGAATGATTGCGGGATGCGGGAGTTTTTCAGCAGGTTTCAGAGGTAGGTTGGAGCCCAGAAGCGTGTAGGTTTGGAGGCACAGAGATGGCACAATCCCCCAAAATGGTGGTTTATATGGACCCCCCCCATCTGTTCAGGACAGCTTCGGGTTTGTGCCATCTACTCTGAAAACACTGTAAATCTGTCTTTGGCATGAAGGACTACTTCTTGAAGAAATGACGGTGACAACCCCTCTACAGTGATCCTTTAATCACCCTACATGCAGTCAATCTGTTGGCAGGGGATCCAACATGTGGCACATCCAGTCCTTTGCATTGGCACCAAACAATCACAGAACGGAGGTCATTGGGACTGTCACGTTCGTAGCGACATAAAATCCCGGTGAAACCGAGCGCAGGGAAAAACCCTTCTGCGAAGGGAAAAACCCTGGTAACGGAGGTTGGCTTCGACAAGTCCCGTCACAGCAAGGAAACAAAAAGTGATCGGCTACAAACCGGGTGGCCAAAAAGAAGCAACCGTGTAACTGAAAGGAGAAGGGGACGCACCCCGAAAGCAGAGGAGCTCATCTCATTGTCTGGGCCGCTCCATCGTCACAATGAGAGTGGGTCGGTCGAGGCTCACGCTCAGCCAACAAGCTCAGCGCGTCGACGAAGGACTGCGCGGGCCCGATGGCTGCGAATGATCACAGACAACTCCTGCAGCAGGTCGCTGTGCAAAGTGGCCGAGTCATCCCCAGTCCGAGCAGCGGCACTGCAAGCGATCTGTAGCAGGAGTTGGCTGGCGGCCCGCTCCCACGCACCAGTGGACTCCGCCACCAAGGGAACAAATTGCACGCCTTGCTGGCTGCAAAGGTGGGCAGTGTTCAAATAGGCTGCTTTGGAAGCGGCATAAGCAGTGGCTGCTGCCAATGCTGCCGCCGCGCCCTGTACCACCACGTCCTGCCGCTGGGGGGCCGTGATGGCCAAATCAAGCGCAGCAGGGGAGCCGTGGAGGCTGGGTTAAAAGATGTCAGCAGGACGGCGGTTCTGGGTGCCCACATCCTGCGGTCGTTGTGGAAGGAGAAGGCCTGGCCGTTCTTTCTCTGGCTGCAGTCCTGCCAGGTCCGCCCACTTGCAAAGGGCATCCCGCCAGCAACGCAGGTGCCAGCGTGCAGAGATAGCCCTAGTTGGCCCTCCGGCTTGACTGCCAGGCACACAAAGTCAATGCCAATGAGCGCAGACATCTGAGCATGTGCCACGTCATTCAGCACAGGATTCTTTGCAATGACTTTGTGATTCCAGCACTTGACAGCAACAACCGCACTGACATTCTTCGTGTTCTGGTTGGCCTTCACAGTCAGCTGAGGGGCAGCTTCCTCCTCCTCATCCGTGTCCGTGTCTTCAGCGCTGGGTTCTGGCTCTTCTGGCTCCTCTGGCTTGGGCTTGGCCTTGGATTTCTCCTTCCCTTTTGCGGCAGGCTTCTCTCCTTCTCCCTTGGCCTGATCTCCCTTGTTCTCATCCCTGCGCTTGTTCAAACCTTCAAACAACGTGATCAGGTTTTGAACATTGCTTTCAAATTCTTCGCCTCCCTTCGAAGTTGGTGTGATCAGCTCCCATCTTGATCTCTTCCTCTTGGTCTTGCGTCCCAATCACATCAAAGTTGAAGAGGTTGGCCAAGGATTTGAAAGCCAGAGACGGCACGGCAACCACAACCACCTTGGTGCCCTCAAATACCTTCTGACCGAACTCGGTCACTTGTTTGAGAACTTCTTTTGTGGCAGCCTTTTCCATGTCATCATCGGAGCTCCAAGAGACAAAGGCACAGAAGAGAAGCTCTGAGCCCTCAGACCTTTTGCATAGTTGCCGCCAGCTTTCTTCGCCAAAATGGTCATGGAATAGCACAGCACAATCGAGAGCGCCATCGACCATGAGCTTGTGTCGTTGAACACAACCTCCTTCTTGCAAAGTACCTTTCCCGTGCTTTTGGGGCCGAACCCGACGTTCGATGTTGCGGGGTCCGTTTGCGACCTCTGGATTTGGGGGTTCGAGGAAGATCCTGCTCCAACTCCTTGAGAAATTCCCTCTGAATGAGGTCTCTCATCTGATCTGGCAATTTGAGGCTGAGCAACCCGGGGGTGATGCTCCCATCATCTGCCAACCTCAGAAGGGACACCTCTGGGAAAGCACTTGACACACCATTGAAGGATCCTTCTTGATCAAACGCCTGGAACAAGGAGCGGGAAAGTGCAACAGCGGGTACCATGTTCTCAGATGCTCGAGTTGGCCCATTTGGCTTTTGAGCAACAAGCCTGCCATTCCTGGTGACAGCACCAGCCAACATCATGATCACAAAGAGAAATGTGTAGGTCGAATCAAGAGATTCTGACCTCACTTTTGCCCCTGTCGGAATCACAGAACAGAGGGCAAGCCATTTTGGGACAGAATACGACCCCAGTTCATCACCAAAGTTTCTGCTCAAAACAAGATGGAACCCACGAACCCGAATGCAAACACGTTCGAAAAACTAATATGTCCAAATGACACTCTTGTAGGACACTCTTGTGGGACACTCTTCTGGGACACTCTTGTAGGACACTCTTGTAGGACACTCTTGTGGGTCACTCTTGTAGGAAACTCTTGTGGGACACTCTTGTAGGACACTCTTGTGGGACACTCTTATAGGACACTCTTGTGGGACACTCTTGTGGGACACTCTGGTAGGACACTCTTGTGGGACACTCTTGTAGGACACTCTTGTGGGACACTCTTGTGAGACACTCTTGTAGAACAC